TGAACTGTCTGCACAAGGCATCACCAAATGGTTCTCTAATATTAGCCTTTCGAGTTGTTAAACCCTTTAACAGACAGCGTGGAAATGGCAAAATGTCTTGAATGGCTAGTGCTAGCCTCAAGAAAAATCTCAGAGACAGCATCCAAGCCTTGAGTTCAAGCCCCAGGACCTGCCACACTCGGGCACAACACACACATACACAGCCCAGGCACTGATGGCTCATGCCTGTAATCCTAGGTACTCAGAAGGCTGACATCTGAGTATCATGGTTCAAAGTCAACCTAGGTGGGAAAGTCCATGACATTCTTTATTTCTAATTAATCAACAGGAAACTCGAAGTGGAGCTGTGGTTCCAAGTGACAGAGCACTAGCCTTGAGCAAAAAAGAGCTCAGGGACAGTGCCTAGGCCCTGAGTTCAAGCCCCAAGACAGACAAAAAAAAAAGAAAAAAGCATGCTGTCTGTTCTCCCATTTGTGATTATGAAGCACAGCTGTCAGCACTTTAAACCTGTGACAGCTTCTCACACATACACACTTTTTCTTTCTGCTGGTCCTGCGGCTTGAACTCGGGGCCAGGGCTCTTTCCCTGAGATTCTTTTGCTCATGGCTAACACTCTACCACTTGCGCCCCAGCGCCATTTCCAACTCTGAGTGGTTTATTGGAGATCATAGTCCAATGGACTTTCCTGCCTTGGCTAGCTTGGAACCATAGTCCTCAGATCTCCGCCTCCAGAGTAGCTAGGATTACAGGTGTGAGCTACTGGCACCCAGCCACACTTTTCTTTCTTTTTTCTTTTTTTGTTGGTCGTAGGGCTTGAACTGTGGCCTGGGCCCTGTCCCTCAGCTCTTCAGCTGTAGACTAGCGCTCTACCACTTGAGCCTCAGCCCCACTTCCGGTTTTTTCTGCTTAAGTGGTGCTGAGGAATGGAACCGAGGGCCTCATGCATACAAGACAAGGACTCTACCAATGAGCCACCTTCCCAGCCCCACACTTTTCTTTGTAACAGTAGAACCTTGTCATTTGGCTCCTAGGTCTTGTAGCCTTCATTTTCTTTACATAAAATTCACTTTTGAAGAGTACACCAATTTTGCACATTTGAAATCTTCCCCTCCAGAGAATCCTAAACTGATAACTGGGTCTGGGGCCCAGCGGCACAGCAGCATTGGCCTGGTATGCCTCGGTGCAACCTCAGCACGAGAGACATTACAATGAGATGACAGCAGAACACTCAAAGATGCTAAGAAGTTGCTTTTTTCCCCGCAAATAAAGCAAGAACACACAGCCAAGTGGTGATGCATACCTATTACTTTGGAGGCAGAAGCAGGAGAATCACAAACTTGAGGCCAGCCTAGCTACATAGGGAGACCTTGTCTGAAAAAATAACAAGAATGTAAGAATGTTGGTTAGATAAGACACTATAGTGTCAATTTTATCTGTAAGAACATTTTAAGCTTTATAAACATTTCCATTATCTTCATATTACAATGTATCAAAAGCAAAATTTACATATATGATCTTTTTTTTTCTTCTAATTGCCAGTCATGGGGCTTGAGCTCAGGGCCTGGGCTCTGTCCCTGAGCCTCTCTGTGCTCAAGGCTAGCACTCTACCACTTGAGGTACAGCACCACTTCTGACTTTTTCTGTGCATGTGGTACTGAGGAATCAAACCCAGGGCTTCATGCGTGCTAGGCAAGCGCTCCACTACTTAAGCCACCTTCCCAGCCACATACAATCTTCTATTCCACATCAGGTTCTGAAGAATCAAATCTGGGGCTTCATGAATGCTAGGCACGCACTCTACACTGAGCCACCTTCCCAGCCACATAGGATCTTATATTCCACATCAAGTTCTAAACTACAATTCCAGGTAAGATAGCAAATTACCAGCTTTATGTACTCATAAACTATAGGTAGTAGCAGTACTTTAAACAAAAATGAGTGTTAGCACGTAAAAACATGAGGCTTTTATCAGAGCTGTCTTTTCTTCCATCAGTAAGTAACTCAAGTCTGATTTCAACCTGGTGACAGCTATTACAAGCAAACCAGAAAAAGGTGATTGATGCTGAAGAGGTAAATTCCAATCTGTACTGTCCTCCAGAGAAGTCTGACTCCCGTCAGTTTCCATAGCTTTCTTTGGAGTCTAAGGAAAAAAGGAATGAAATAGAAAAGCTGACTCCACTTTGAAGAATGCAGCACTAACTGCTGGGCCCAGGCCAAAGGTACACAGCCACACCGGTAGATTTCATTCTCCCTGGGAAACACATTCACCAAAAGCATGCCTGTGCACTGTGGAGAACAGAACGAATTCCTGTACTTCCAGTTTTAAAATCCCTCAGTTCTGTGAAGCAACTAGTACATCTGAGCATCCATATCTCCAGTTCAGAAGTATCATTTCATACACTGGAATCATATATTTACAAAGCACCATTTCATACAATACGTTAGAAACTATAAATAGCACAAAATACATTAATCCCAAAACTTTAACATGTTTCCAGTGATCCTAAAAACGACAAATTATAACTATCTGTTTGGCTGAGATAACCAGTTATTCCTAGCAAATCAGGATGTTATGTAAAAAAAATTAGAGAAAATGGCACCTCTAATACTTTTAACCTCTTAAATATGCACAGCTACAAGGAAAAGAAAAGTGCATCCTGGCATGTGAGTAGACACAGAGCGTATAACCCTGAACAACTGTTTGAAACCTAGTTTAAGTTTTAAATAATTTTCAGTTGTAATAACATTGTGTTTATTCATGTTAGGAAGTGATCTTGAGAAATCTGAAGATTTCTGGCACAGGTGGCTCCCATATGTACTTCTAGCTACTCAGGAGACCTAAGAGGAGTTTGAAGCCAGCTGGAGCAGGTAAGTCTTTGAGACTCCATCTCAAATTAACCAGCACAATGCTAGGCTGGAGGAGTGCTCCAATAGAGCACTAGCCATGAGCAAGAAAACCGAGGGACAGTGTGTGGCCCCAAGTTTAAGCCCCAGTATGAAACTCAGGTATAGAAATGACACCGTGGACAGAATCAGCTACTAGAGAAGAGACAACAGCAGCAACAAACTTCTTATGAAGAATCTTACATACTCAGGACAGAGAAGATGCAGCTTATCTTTGTATGCTCACAGTTCTTTAGTCAGTTTTGTTTTACTGAAACATTATAATCTGAGTCCCTTCTAAAAAGAAAGGAAAAGTTAAAAACAAACACAATAGGAGCCTTGAAGACGTCAGTGAAGGACCTTCCCTGTGCTCTGGACATTTCATTATCACCTGTTTTCCTTTTTTTTTTTTTGTCGTGGTGCTAGACTGGGCCTGAACACTGTACTTCAGCTCTTCTTCAGCTCACGGCTAGCACTCTACCAGTTGAGCTGCAGCACCACTTCCAGTTTTTTGAGTGGTTAATTGGAGATAAGAGTCTCCTGCCAAGGCTGGCTTTGAACTGTGATCCTCAGATCTCAGCCTCCTGGAATAGGATTACAGGCAAGAGCCACTGGTGCCTGGCTTTTTTTTTTTTTTAGAACAAAACCAAATCTGCTTAAAGTAGTCATTCTTGGGATCTGAATTTTATTTTTTAACTTCCAACCCTCCCAGGATCTCAAATCTAGATGTTTCACTGGGAACATTTTTTTCATTTGCCTCCAGACTGAGCTCTGTGAGCCATGCTGAAGGGGTGGGAGCACAAAGCCAAAGGCTGCTTCCAGGTCCCACAATCGGCCCTTTTGTGTTTTTTAAACCAGTTTCTACTTCATGTGACACACACTGTAACTGCAAATTCAGATGATCCAGGAATGTCAGAAAGAATCCACCATAGTCCTTATTCTTTTCAAGTAAACACTGTCAAATTTAAGTCTTATGGAATTGGTAAGTAGCATATGAAAATAATAAGCCAGGATTGGGAAGGTGGCTCAGTGGTAGAGCGTTTGCCTTGCATGCATGAGGCCCTGGGTTCGATTCCTCAGCACCACATAAGCAAAAAAGAAAAAAAAAGCCGTAAGTGGCGCTGTGGCTCAAGTGGTAGAGCCCTAGCCTTGAGCTGAAGAGCTGAGGGACAGTGCCCAGGCCCAGAGTTCTGGCCCCATGACTAGACTCCTCCTCCCCCCCAAAAATACTAAGCCTTTCAGTTATGCTGGAAATGTTAACAGAACAGTGTGTGAGCTTCCCTGTGTGTTCCACAACGATGGCAGTACTCCACACCTGCACATTAGCCAGTTTAAAAAGAAATTTTTTTTTGGAGTGGGGGGTGGTCCTCAGGGTGTGGGCTCTGTCCCTGAGCCACTCTGTGCTCAAGGCTAGCGCTCTACCACTTGAGCCACAGTGCCACTTCCAACTTTTTCTGCTTATGCGAGACAAGCATTCTACTACTGAGCCACTCTTAGCCCCCAAAAGGAATTGTTTTGACTAAAAGCTATCCTACAATGATTTCACCAAACTGTTTAATTACAACTTAAGAAGGGGAAATGTGAGATGTTTTATATGGCACTCTACCTGCTAAGAAACCTATCATCCTGGAAAATAGGGAAACTTCATACTTAAGCTTTGTATTTACAGGTATTATTTCTCTGTGCTGCGTAACACATACCATAAAGAAGTGTGTAACTCAAAAGATAACCTGAAATTTCACAGTGTGGCCATATATTCATTAAAGAAGTAGCCCAGCGAGAATGAGGGAAGGCCTATCACTGTCCAAAAAGAAATATGGGTGGTTTTTGTATTGTTTCTGCTAGTTGTGGTGTTTGAACTCAGGGTCAGGGCACTGTCTCTGGGCTTCTTTTTGCCCCAAGCTAGCACTCTTACCACTTGAGTCACAGCACCACTTCTGGCTTTTTCTGTGGTACTGAGGAATTGAACCCAGGGCTTCATGCATGCTAGGGAAGCACTCTTCCCACTAAGCCGCATTCCCAGCCAGAAATGCACTCTTTACCTGACTTATGTAACTGCAACCCCTCTGTGCATCACCTTTATAGTAACAAAAAAATTACTTTTAAAACAAGTAGCATAATTTAAAAGTTTAGTATGTTTTAATCGTTCTACTATTTTTGTTCTTTGGGTTTAAACACGCATGTTTTCTACCCCTTTTGATTATACATTTTTCTAAGTGGGCATTTTTATTTTGTTAGCAATCCAAGGCTATAAGGAATACACAAATTTACCTAACACGAATATAAATAAGCATACGCCGTCTACCCAAGTGGGTGGCAGGCCGGGTTCAGACCACGGAGGTGGTGCTCTCGGGGTTCACCCTGACCAGTCGGGATGTATTCCTCAGGTCCTGGAGCTGCTTGGCAGGCTTCCCCACACCTTCCTCAAACCTCTTCTCCACCACAGGGAGCACGGTCTCATAGAGGAAGGAGGCATTCTGTCTGATAAAGGCTTTCCTCTCAGGGTCCTGCTCGCAGCGGAGACTGTAGTCCACGTGGCGCACGGCCACCAAGATGACCTCCACCAGGCTCTCCAGCAGCGCTGTATGCAGCTCTGGCAGGTACAGCTTCAGCGCCTCCTCCAGGAAGCCCAGCGTCTGCTTGGTGAAGGCCACCACCGTGTAGCTCAGGTTGACCCAGCAGTCGTCACCCGTGTACTGCTCAAAGTCGCCCACCCCGCAGCTCCGCATCTCTTCCCGCAGCTTGCCCAGGGCCTCGGGGGTCATCAGGTTCATGCGCCGCCACATCTCCTCCGAGTTGCGGTGCTTGGTGGCCTCGATGATGATCTCCTTGTAGCTGTGCAGGGCTCCCCGGATGTCCCGCACTAGCAGCGCATGGACCACGAAGGTGAGGTCCAGCCCGATCTCGCCCAGCTGCTGGCAGTGCTCCTTGGCCACCTTCACGCACTCGGCGGCCGTCGACAGGCTCTCCTTGCTGTCGAATACCTGCTTGCTGAACGCGTCCACGAACATGCCCATGGCCGCCCGGGCCCAGACCACGAAGGCGGAGTAGCAGCCGCTGTCGGTGCCCGCGAAGTCGGTCTCGAACTCGCGGGCCGTTTCCAGCAGACTGGTGAAGAAGACGTGGCACAGCTTGTGGATGTAGAGCAGCGTGGCGCCCTCGATGCGCAGCTGGCGGATGGCCGTGTGCACGGCAGCCGCCCGGTTCCGCAGGAACAGCTCGCAGGCCTTGGTGGCCTGGCCCAGCCGGATGAGCTGCGACACGGCGCGGCGCGTGGCGCGGGGCCCGCCCCGCAGCGAGCGGTCAGGGGACAGCTCGAACACCAGCACGTCGGTGAGCTGGCGCACGCGCTCGTCCACCCGCGCGCGGAGCTCGCGCACGGCCGGTGGCCGCGGCTTGTCCTCCAGGTAGCGGCTCAGCTTGTCCAGCAGGTCCACGGCGCCCTCGAAGTCCCGCTGGGCAATGCAGACGTCCAGGTCCTCGGGGAGCTCCTGGATCCATTCCAGGGAGAGGTCCACACTCTCCTCCTCCTCCTGCTCCTCCTCTGGGGCCCGGTCAGCGGGCGGCTGGGCCTGGGCTTCGGCCTCGAAGGGATTGGTGCCCCGGGCGGGTTTGGGCGACGGCCCCGATCCTGGCCCCGGGGCCCGCGGGGCGGCCGCTGCCTCCTGCGCCTGAGCGCGCCGCCGCCGCTCGCCCAGTGCCCGCTTGGTCTCCTCCAGCACCTCCAGCCACTCGCGCTTGACCTTGGCATTCTCCGCCTGGAAGATGCGGCTCTCGGGGAACATGAGCAGCTTGAACATGTCCTTCATGGGCGGGTTGTCCTTGACGTTGACCACGGCCAGCCCGTCCAGCGGGTAGAGAGCATCATAGCGGTAGGCGCCGCGCCGCTGCGGGAGCCAGGTGGCCACCAGCAGGCAGTCGCTCATCAGGAAGCCGTGCACGCGCTGCAGCTGCGCCATGTGGTCGGCCTCATACTCCACCAGGTCCCCGTTGTACACCAGGCGCTGGCCCGGCGCCTCGAGCAGCGCGCGGCAGCCCTCGACCTTCTCCAGCAGCGTGGTGAGCGTGCGGCGCGGGCCCGCGTCCTCGCCGGGCACGGGCGCGGGGGCCCGAGGGCCGCCCGGGGGCGCGCGCGGGCCGGCAGCGGCCGCGTCCTCGCCGCCCGGGGCCCCCGCCGCCGCCCCCGCCGCCGCCGGCAGCAGCGCCAGCGGGATGCTCTCCAGCCGGCTCTTCTGCTCCGTCAGCAGGTGGCTCAGCTGGTACATCTCGCTCTCCAGGTAGGAGATCTCGCGCGCCGTCTCGATGAACTGCCGGTAGTTCTGGTAGACGTTGCGCTTCAGGTTCTGCGCCGTCTCCTCGGCCAGCGCCTGCACGCGCTGTCGGTGCTCCTGCAGGTCGCGGTCGCCGTCCGACTGCTGCGACAGCTGCTTCACGTACAGCCGCGCCTCGAACCCGCCTGACTCCAGCTGCCGCCGCAGGCGGCTCGCCCCGCTGTCAGACATGGCCACCGCCCGCTCCGCGCCTCTAGCGCGCGCCCGCGGCCACCCGCCGCCGTCACCCGCCGCCGCCGGGCTCCACTCGCGCTGGGCGGAGACCTCGGCCGGGGGCAAGGGGCTCGCGAGGGACTACGACGACGACGACGACGACGCTACGCCGGGGCCGAGCGTCTCACAGCGCGCGTGCGCCACAACTAAGGGGCTAACACTACTCCTGCTCCGGGACTGAGAGTCTCCCAGCGCGCCTACGCCAGGACCAAGCGTCTCCCAGCACGCGTGCGCGGGCGTCGAGCGTCTCCCAGTGCGCCTGCGTCGGAACCAAGCGTCTCCCAGCGCGCGTGCGCTGAGGAGGAGGGGAGGGGTCGAGTGTCTCACAGTGCGCCTGCGCTACTCCAAACGCCCACCGCGCGCCTGCGCAGAAATTGCAGTCGCCTGGGGCGCGGACGCCCAACTGCGGAAGTAAAAGTCGGGCCAGGCTTCGTGCGGGGATCCGAGTGTAACGCGGAGAGCAGGGTTGTAAAGGCAACAGACCGCTTCGGGCTCGGGCCCGCGCCCGCGAGGCAGCATAGTGCCAGCTCCGCTTGCGAGGCTCCGCATCTCGGTTCCGGCGTCCGGCGCTCGCACGCTGATTCGCTCGCGTCCGCGCGCGCGCGCGCTCTGTGG